AGAATATCAAGCCAGTTTTCCGTGATAATTTCTTGAAAGATGATGTCTAGGCTCTTTTTTTGATCATGTTGTTCAGATAGTGCAATAATTTTTAAATTATCTCTCCTGGGTCTATTTTCCAGTCAGTTGTTTTTCCGCTGAGATGTTTCACATTGTCTTCTATTCTTTCATTCTTTTGGTTTGTTTTATAGTTTCTTCATTTCTTATAAAGTCATTAGCTTCCATTTGCTCCATTCTAATTTTTAAGGAATTATTTTCTTCAGTGAGCTTTTTGACCTCCTTTTCCATTTGGTCGATTCTGCTTTTTAAGATATTCTTGTCCTCTTTTAGTTTTTGGACCCCTTTTACCATTTGGCCTAGTCTGTTTTTTAAGGTGTTATTTTCTTCAGTATTTTTTTGGTGTCTCTTTTATCAAACTGTTGGCTCGTTTTTCATGATTTTCTTGCATCAGTCTCATTTCTCTTCCCAGTTTTTCCTCTGCTTCTCTTATTTGATTTTCCAAATCCTTTGTGAACTCTTCCATGGCCTGAGACCAATTCATATTTTTCTTGGAGGCTTTGGATGTGGGAGCTTTGATTTTGTTGTCTTCTTCTGAGTGTGTTTTGATCTCCCTTGTCACTATAATAACTTTCTATAGTCAGAGTTTTTTCCTGTTTACTCATTTTCCCAGCTTATTACTTGACTTTTTAACTCTTTGTTAAAGTAGGGCTCTGCTTACACTGTGGAAGGTGCACTGTCCCAAGTTTCAGGGGTTTTGTGTAGCTGCTATCAGAAATATTTCTAGGTACCTTTAAGTTTTCAGTTCTTCCAAGCTGGTATGATCTAAAGAGAGATGTTTACTATTTTCCTGGCCTGTGCTTTCATCTGTGGGAGACCAGAAGCACCCTTTTCTTCCCTGGTACTGTGGGGAGGGTCTCCCCTCCACTGTGGCTGCAAGCTCTGCTATGCTAGTGTTTTTCCTTGCCCCAGAATTGGCACCTAGCACTGCAATCAGGATGCAAGTATGAGCAAAGCAACAGTCCTGCCCCAGTGCTAGCAAAAAGGCCCTGTAATCTCCTTCTGACCAGTTGTTTAACCCTTTACCATCTGTGGGCCGAGAGCTCCAGAAACAGCTGCTGTCGCTGCAGATTGAGTCACTCCCAAGGCCTGCTTCTGGTTTGCTGTGGCTAGGGCTGTGCTAGCATGGCCTGCTTTGGACTGTGCTCCATTCTCATCCTGGTGCGATAGACCTTTCCTGATGACCTTCTAAATTATCTTTGGTGTCTGTGGGCTGAGAAGTCCGGAAACCACCTCTGCTACTAGTGATTGAGTTGCCTAGAGGCCTGCTCTGATTTTGCTGGGGCAGGGTCGGTGCTGGCCTAGTATGTGCTGGACTGCACATCTCTCTCACCCTGGTGCAACAGACTGTTCTTGTCGACTTTCTAGGCTGTCTTAGGCTGGAAATGTGTTTCATTCTGTCTTTTCGTAGGTTCTGTTGCTCAAGAATTTATTTAGAATAATTTTTTAAAGGTATTTGGAGAGGTTTGGGAGAGAGCTCAGGTGAGTCCCTGCCTTTGTTCTGCCATTGTGGCTCCACTCCCCAGGAGTCTACTTTTATCCCCAGGTGTTGTATGTATAACATATTTAGTTAGGAGACAAAGGTGATCTCCCTTCTGGAGAATTATTCTGATATGAACACGGGTTACTCTAAGTTTAAAAATGTTTTTAATATATTGTCATAAATTCTTCAAAGGAAACAATGTGATGACAAAAATTCATATCCACAGATAATTATTACTACCTCCAAAGACAAATTTTGAAGATATTTTATAAGATAATTTTATTTCTGTGAATAAGATACCCAACATCTTAGAAACCCTAAAGTATTAATGGGAAAAATTACCTTTTAATAGTTTTATGTGACTTCATCTGCTTTTGTTTCTTAGTGTATGAAAGTGATTTTAATTATTTTTTCTAATAATGGGAAATAGGGAGAAGAAAAAGAATTATCATTTTGATTATTTTTTTTTCCTCTTTATTGACTTGCATTCTCAATAAGAAGGAGAAAATATGTGGAACTGTAACTTCCTGGCCCATGATTATCCAATTTTCTCCATCAATGTATATGACTAAACATGAAAAACAAAGTATATTTAGATCTTTAAGGATATATTTATACTTAAACTGCAGTTTTTTGAGTTGTAATCTCTTTAGTTTCTTAAACTCCACAATAGGTCCTGATCCTTATAAACTGGTATCTTCTTTACTACCGTATGCTTTAATAACAACCATGATGTGAAAATATTTCTAATCCTGGTTATGAACTATAGGGCTTATAAACGCCATGTGTCTTTGAAGTAGTCTATATGTTAGATACACATTATGTTTTTTAACGAGGATCAGAAATATTTTCATATTATAATTGCCATTATATAATTACCATTTCTTACTGAAAGTTAACAAAACAATGAACTTCTTAAACGGGGCACAAATAATATATAGGTACTTCAGACTTATATAATTCTAACAATAGTACTCAGTCATATTGAATTTTATGTTTGATATATTAGGAATTTAAACTATAAGTTGACACTGGTTAGAAGTTCTTTTTTTTAACAGATTAAAAATAGATATTCTATTTATATCATTAAAGAACTTTAAGCTTGTAATTGTTTCACAAACCATTGCACGACTGAGCTCATGCATATTGTGCTTTATGTATTTAGGCACTCATCAAGTACAGAGTTCATTTTGGGTGGTCTCATAAGGCAAAGTTGTAAATATCTGTCCACATTTATAATTTCTTATTTCCATCTCTAAGATTTAGCATAATAAAACCCACAAATCTACCCTAATAATGAGCAACTTGAAACCTAATGTTTTTCAGCTTATTGAAATTTACTGTAGCTTAAATAGTTCTTTTTTTTTCTTTTGAAGGCATTGTCAATTTTTTTTTTGTTAAAAAAAGGAAAAAATTATCTTAATACTAAAGGCTACCATTTCTAAAAGTTATAGCAACTTTTTTTTCTTGCTGGAAACTATTTTATAGAAATTTCTACATATAATTCTTAGCTGTTAAAAATAGCTGATACTTAAGAGTAGTACATTTTTTTTCCCTAGCTATGCTACTTTGTCTTGGTTTTCACTACTATTTATCAGGTCCCATAGGTTAAGGATTACAATGCCATTTTAGTAAAGCTTCAGTGCCAACAGAATTACCTTTCATCTGCATATAGCACTTGAGCTTAAAAAAAATTTTTTTAAAACTCATTTTAGGGACAGCTAGGTGGCTCAGTGGATAGAGCACCCCTGAAGTCAGGAGGACCTGAGTTCAAATCCGACCTCAGACCAAACACTTGACACTAGGTGTGTGACCTTGGGCAAGTCACTTAACCCCAATTGCCTTAAAAAAAAAAAAAACATTTTAGCCTCACTATTGCCCTTTGAGATAGGAAGGAACTGTGTTGTTATTCCCATGTTATGGAGGAGGAACTTTTGAAATATAGGGTGATCAGTCATTTGTATGAGTTTAAACAGTAGTGAAACTTGGACTATCAGAATCAGACATACCATAATTCCAACCTGTACCTATCTAACAATTCCCTCTACATCTCCAAAATGTTCTCTTCCCACTTTTTGTTGAATATTCAGCTCCAGGCATTTTCTCTGGCTGTCCCCCATGACTGGCACAGTCTCCCTCTTCCACTCTGACTACTGACCTGCTTGGCTTCCTTTAAGTCCCAACTAAAATCCCACATTCTACAAGAAGCTTTTCTAACCCCTCTTAATTCCTGTAGTTTCCTTTTAATTATTTCCTGTTTATCGTATATGTAGCTTGCTGTGTGTGTATGTGTGTGTGTACACGTACGTGTGTATTTGGCATGTTCCTCCAATTAGATTGTAAGCTCCTTGAAGCCAGGGATTGTCTTTTGCCTCTTTTTGTATCCCCTGCACTTGGTACAGTGCCTGCCACATACTAGGCACTTAATAAATGTTTATTGAGTTGAACACGTCTAGGTAGTAGGTCAACAGGCATTTATTAGAAGCCTACACTGTGCCAGGCATTGTCCTATGCACCAGGGATAGAAAGAAAGGCAAAAAAAAAAAACAAAACAAAAAAAACCCCACCTAAACAAAAGACAGTCCCTGTTCTCAAGCAGCTTCTTCTAATGAGGGGAGGACATCATGCAGTCAATTATGTACAAAGAAAATATGTGCAGGACAAATTGTAGAAATCAGCAGAGGAAAGGTAATAGCATTAAAGGAGATTTGGGAAAGGTTTCTTAAAGACACTGGAATTTTAGCTGAGACTTGAAGCTAAGAAATGGAGATGAGAAGAGAGAATTCCATGCATGGGGAACATCTAGTGAAAATGCCTGGAATCAGGAAATAGAGTGTCTTGTGCAAGGAAAAGCAAGGAGGCCAGTGGCACAGGATTGAAGAGATATACTGAGGGGCAGGGAAGAGGAAGGTGTAAGAAGACCGGAAAGATACGAGGCAGCCTTTGAATATGAGGATTTTGTTTTTGTACCTCCAGTAGGGAGCCACTCGAGTTTATTGAATAGCATAGGAGTTACCTGCTACCTCCTGAGGCATGCTTGGATATCTCTGATATTTAGGAAGTTTTCTTTTATAGTCTAAATCTGTTACTGCTCCTAATTTCACTTTCTTGGAAAATAAATCACATCCTTTTTCCATATGATGGCTCTTCAGATACTTGAAGACAGCTACCATTTCTCACTTATGTGTTTCTTTTCCAATTTCTTCAAACTACTGCTGCATGGCATTCTCTGCTGTCTCTTCACCATGCTGGTCACCCTTCTTTGGCCTTACCCTACCTTTTCCATCTCCGTCGTAAAATATGGCATCCCAGAAAGAACATGAGTCCAAATGTATTCTAGCCAAGGTAGACTGCTATCACTTTCTCCCTATTGGATATTTACTCAGCATTAATTTTCACTGCTATTTTATATTCTTAGCTCATACTATACAAACTAATTACACATTTTTTGATTTTGTAGTCTCATTTACCAGCTGTGGTTAAGAGGCATCTTGATTCCTGTGTTTGTGGTGATTGGAAGACCATGGATCACACTGGGATGGTAGAACCTGAGGATGAGTTGGGGTCATTAGGTCACCTCGCTCCAAGTCCTCAAAGTGAAGCAGTAGCTCATGAATTCCAGGAACTTTCCTTACAGTCGAGTCAGCATTTGCCTCCTCTCAATGAACGCAAGAATGGTGAGTTTTGAAGAATTTATAGTATTATTTATATCTTTTGAAGGTTTACACTCATAACTAACCTCTCAAAAGCAATGTGTATATTGTTAATATCTAATAACTTTAAATCAACTAATACTTATAGATGATATCTTTTGTGCCTTCTTTTGATAGTCTTTTTTCCATTCTCCTCTGCCAGCCAACCCCTTGATAAACATGTATTTTGCCAAGATAAATATTATTGCCAAGAAACTCTGTCCTTATTGTTTCAGTAATCTTTTTAGCTTTAGCTAAAATCAGTCAAAACCACAATCACATATATTTATTAAATTTTCATTTAAATAATTCTTTTATTGTTGAGCTACAGAAGAAATCTGTTGCAACTTATAACAGCTTTAAGTATTTAAAATAATTGTTCTCATTTATAGTATTTCACCTATAAATTTATATAAATAGCAGAATATAGTTAAATGTGTCTTTCTATGTGTCTTTAGAGTACACATAAGCTCTATTTACTTGGCTTGAAAGTTCTAGGCTTTGAAAGATAACCAGCCTGTTTTCAGGTGATACTTCAAACTTTGTGTCACTATTGATTATTTTCCCCTTGAAATATTTTTGTTGGCAGTATAATTTTTGGAAATGATTTTGAGATTGAGAAATTCAGTTTTTGTACACTGATATGCTTGGGGATGGTGTTTCAAACAAGTGACTTCACTAATCTGGGAATAATGAGGTAACTTTTCTGAGCAAAATAGGTTTTGGCTACAAACTTTTTTTTTTATGTTACATTTAAATTTTTATATTCTCAAATTTGACAGTGAAGATTTGCTTTATAATCCTAGTTTTCTTGTTTATCAGAGGAAGAATATCTCTTTGAAGTTGTAGTTAATTTTTTTGTCCTAATGTTAAGATATGCTTTTTTTCATTTCATTTTAAACATGTTTCATCTTTTCTGTGAAAATTAGAGGAAAATACTTAAACTCTATGAATGACCTACGTTCCAGGGTTATCATGGTTCTTATCTCTGATATGCTAAATCATGTGGCATAGGCTCATATTGTAAGTCTACTGTTCCATCCTTGAAGTCAAAACAGATATTTTCCACAACTTTGTTTTCATATCCTTAATGATCTCCAAGTGAATAGTTGAGACCCTGATGTCCACAATTATGTGTAGTCTAGCATTAACATAAATTATTCTTTCTGAGATCTTTTGTCATATTAAACAAAGGTGCACCATAAGAATACATTTATCAAATTGGCTAACAGTACTATCTTAAAAATCTCATAGAATCTAGCCTATGTGAACGCTAATATTGCAGAGGTTTCAGTAGATAAGAAGCTCCTGTCCCTAAGAATAATCAGTTTTTACCTTTTTAATGTTCTGAGGTATGCCTGCAAACTCCTTATTGTCATACTAGGAAGTACAGTGTTAAAGTGGTACAATATATAAAAAGTATTAGTGAGAACTTTCCATGTAATGATCCTTTTGTTTTCCTGAATGATACTATATTGCTATACCTCATATGTCTCTTATTTACATATGTTCTTATACTGAAAGTACTGAAGATACATTATAGATACATCATGTTTGAGTTCAGCTTTGGTAGTCTTTTAAAAATATAGAATGTTAGACTCTCATTATTCTTTGACACAACGTGATTGACAAAATTGTCCCTTAAATAGAATACCATAAAGCTGTCTGAGCAGCTTCAGCAATATATAATCACCTAAAAGACCATAATATGATTAACTAATTCCATTTTTAGTAGATAGTGAGTGGGGAAAAATCACCACCTGATATCTCAGGTGTCAGTATATTAAATATGATTACATTTTAGCAAAATTACCTAAATCTAATTAAATATACAAATTGATATCTCTAAGAAGAATAAAGATTAAATGGATGTTGAGTAACTTAGCTATTCAAGGAGACTATCTGTATGAGGAATGGAAATAGAGTATAATTGCATTGCCATTGTTAACTATGAGTGTTTTCAATTTTTACAGATAAAGCTTTAAATTAATATCATTTACAACACTATTTGCTATTACCTTGCTTTGAAAAAGTTTATTTCAGACTTATAGTAAATTAGCCCACCTAACACATTAAGAATAGCAAGTTACTCCTTGAAGATATTAGTGAGAACCATGTATGTATATCTAACATGTTTATCATCATGTTCTTGAGGCACATCAGCATGAGTAATATTTTCACATGAAACAGTACATAAGTGGAGGAAATTTTCATTTTAATCTTCTCTTTGTTTTTTGAAGAACATTATGATTCCTTCACCACATGAATAAGTGGTTTTTAACTCTCAAAATTAAAAGGCACTATTTGAAGACTAAAATAATCTGAATTTAAATTTATTCCAATGGGAACTTTTTGTTGTGATTTTTAAGCATTTTGAAGTTAACTTGCTAAAATTGTTTCCTTCTTTGTTGACAAAAGGAGATATTTAAATTTTGAGTCTCTGTGGAATGATTGCTTCACAGAATGGTTTATAGATGAACTTTACAAGGAAAATGAAGTTTACATTTAAGAAATGTTTCCAGGATTTTCCCTCATTGTAGATTAATATTTATGTTGGCAGTGGTAGTGAAATGGAAAAGTATTTCCACTGCTACAGTAAATATGAAAGAAGTTTTCATCAGAACATACTAGTGTTTCCCTGTACCCATAGTGAGGCTATAAAAATCACGTTGCTATTAGCACCTTAGAAGCAAGGCAGACTGCTTAGGTTTTTCCATGAGGTTACAGCTGCATTCAAGTAGTATACCTTCACAGAAACAATGCATTGAAATACAAATTGAGCTTTTAATATAAGCATGAAATCAGATTGTACACAGAGTGATCCGGTTTTATTACCATAGCCTGAGATGAATGTTCCTTGATGTAGTCAACACTTGGACTATTAATCATAGGGAGCCTTCTTTCAGTTTCCAAATGGAAGAGTTGTTCTTTTAATGCCTCTTGTTTGCAGTGGCAGAATGTTGTAATCAGACTTTATGTTCTGGAATATGATATATGAAATCAGGAAAAGATAAAATGATAAAGACCCTACATTATTATATGTTGATTTTTTTTCTGCAGATTTGATTCCTAGCTTAATGCATTGATTTAGACATTGCATTTAGGTTTTCCTAAGTTGCAAAACATAGTTAAACTTTTTAGCAGAAAATTTTTCCGCTTTATTGACTGGTAATGTATCTCAAATGGCCTAGAATTTTAAGCATATTTAATTAGAAATCTTTACAAATTGTCTATAGAGAAGATATCAGGACTTTTTTTTTTGAAAGGGGGGCTGAACTTTTCCATAGTTTCTTCAGTGCACCCTGGAAAGGAATAATTTAGATGTGAAATTCACCTTCAGCATAGATTAGGTCATGTTTATTCAAATATTGGATAGCACCAGCTATGTTATAGTATTGAGAAGTAGTTGAAAGGAATATCTGCCTTCATTCCTTTTTGTATATGAAAGGCCCTTTCAAACCCTATCTACTTTTTAAGTCTGGTCCAGGAAAATAATTTTGCCTAGGTGGCACAGTAGATAGAGTGCTGGGCCTGGAATCAGGCAGACTCATCTTCCTGAGTTCAGATATGGCCTCAGATACGTATTAGCTGTGTGACCCAGGGCAAGTCACTTAACACTGTTTGCCTCAGTTTCTACATTTCTAAAATGAGCTGGAGAAGGAAATGGCAAACCTCTCTACTATCTTCTGCTAAGAAAATCTCAAATGGAGTCACAAAGAGCCAGACACAACTGAAAAATGACTGAACAAAATCTTATGTAAATTCAATTCCATTGCCTTCTATCAGATTCTCTATCATTTCAAGAAATGACAACAAAGGCTTGCAAATCATCTTTTAGATCACAACCAGGTATTTTTGCCTTTGTCACTAAAGAAAAAATAACTGATATAAGTATATGCTGAAGACAAGACATTCCAAGTTGGTCCCTTTGTTTTGCTTTTTTCCATTTAATAGTGTACTTGGACAAAATCAAGTAAAATTCACTCCGCTCAGCCAAAACAAATTTCAGAGGTTGTAGTGCAAAAAAAAGAAAGTTCTACGTTAGCATTTGATCTTCACTTCTAGTAATAGACTGTTTCTTTTTTATGTGACAGTGCAGATACTATTTCAAACATTAAGGCATAAAGACCATGCTTTAATGGATGTAGGGTAATCCTAAGAAAATAGTAAGAAGCCTCCACAGTAGTTTGATAACTTCCATAATATTTGAGGTAGAGAGTCATTCAACAAGCATTTATTAAGTGCCTACTATGTACCAGGTACTGTACAAAGAGCTGGAGAGACTAATGACATAAGGAAACAAATGGAATAGTAATTAGGAAAAAATGAATTGATGGGACCAAATAGTGTTTGCTTTCCCTTTTTCCTACTGAAATGATTTTGGGATCAAATGAGCTAATATCTATAAAGAACTTTGCAAACCTTAAAGCACATGCTAACTATTATTAAATGATTTAGGGGATTGGACTACCTCTGCCTTTGGTTCTGCCGTTAAGATATTTTGTCTCTTGAGTAATTGCAGTAACTCAGATGTTTTTGTCAAAAATGGTGTTTGAATTTTCTAAGATTTTATTCTGATCTAAATAGCAACAGCAGATGTGTGTAGAAATCAGACTTGAACTTTTATGTCATGGACAAAAATGTATAGACCTTAATTAGAACTTTCATCAACCAAGTTTCTAATTTTTTTTGCCAGTTATTTTATCAGAATTCATGGTTTATATTCAATGGTACAATAGAGTTTTGATTCAAAAGAGCTATTTCCTTAACAACTGCAAATGAAATATATGACTAATTGCCGTAGCTCTCAAACTTCTTTCTTGAGATAAACTCCTGACCCTTTAAAATGCTTGTTAGGTTTTCATAAATAGCTTAAGGGTAAATTATACTAATTCAAAATAACCTTTTTAAAAGTTTCCTACTAAAATGTGATGTAAGTAGGCAGGTTTAATTCTGCCTATTTCTTTCTATTTTAAATTTCTCGTTCAGATAGCTGTGTTGCTAGAATTTAGTTTTGCTCCAATACATAGCTGAAAATATCCAAAGGGGTGCATTAATTTGAATTCTTCATTTACGGTTGGCAATTACTTTGAACTCCTGACTTAGTTCCACAGCTGCTGTTATAAGCATGTTTTGGTAAGTCTATGAAGTGCTTAGTAAGACTTACAATTTCAGAGTGAACCAGCAAAATCATCAGGCCCAAAGAAGCTTTGTTTATAAGTTATTTAATATTTTAAAGTGGAGTGCTTTTCATATTTGCCCTGGGTCATGAGTACAAACAATTAATACATGAGGCTAAGTAAAACTTATATAGCAACAGTAACTAAAAAGTTAAACCAAACCAATTCGTATCTCAGACATGGAAAATATTTTTACCTGCTCTAGAACTTTCATGGGATATATCTACCATTATTAGAGTCATTTGGATATAGTATATTATATCTTAAGGAGATCAAGACCAATTGCTTATTCAATACTGAAGTGTACCAAATGATTTCTTTTAGGCTCCATACTTGTGGAGCTTTTTGCCTAGCTCGTTTAAAGGGATACATGAAAAAACAATCTTGTACTCCTCCACAGAAGGCAAGTTTATGTAATTGCAGTTGGCAGAAACAGATAAAATAGATAAATAATTCAGAGATAAAGGATACCATGTGTGCTTTTCTTAAGTCTATTTGTAAATGAACAGGTTTTACTTAATCTCAGACTAGGAAGAGAATTCAAAGACTGTCTAGGTTAACCTGTACCTGAATCAGAATCCCCTCTGCAGTGAGTACATTTATAATTTGAGGTAAAATAAGTAATTGGAAAATCATTGCTTAGCTCTATAGTACAGTCCCTGCCAATGGAAAATTTGATGGGATTCTCATTCAAAGAACCCCTGAGTTGAAAGGGACCTTACAGGTCATTGGTCCAACCCCCTTTCTCCTCTATTTCCACCAAAGCAAAGTATGAATCTTTTCTACGATATCCCTTACAATAGTTATATAGCTTTTACTTGAACATCTCCATTGGTGAGGAATTTTCTCCTCATGAGGTATTGTATTCCACTTTTGGATAGATCTTGTTTGGAAGTATTTTTTTAGCTGTAATGAGCTGAAAACATTCTTCTTGTAACCTCTATACTTTGGTCCTAAGGTCAGCCTTATGATTCTGACTCGTCTTCCACATCATGGTTCTTCTAATATTTGAAGACATACGTCCTCTTCCATCTCTCAACCTACTTTCAATCTTTACGGCTGCCTTGTCTCTCACCCATGAAGAGAAATGGTTAATACTTGCTGCTTCATTGTTACTAAATAGTTGGGAGAACCGATTAAGTCAAGGACATCTGAAATACTGTATTAGAAATAAATCAGGACTGTTTTAGTGTAGGAGTAAAGACTGGAAAGGAAAGGATCCCAGCCTTAAAACAAGAGGAAAAAGTTTTTGTTTTGTTTGTTTTTGTTATTCTCACCTTTTTCTCCTCTTTGTTTCTCTTTTAAATTCAAATTTGGAGGAGAAATGTTCTAGAGATCATTTAAAAATATTGAAAAAAGAAACATGAAACATATAGTGAATAAAAGGGTGTATTGATCTTTTCTTTTTGGTCCACTGTGGGTAATAACCCAAATTCATTAGCAAATATCAGAAAAAGCGTTTTTCTAACGCCTTTACATTAACCCATATTGTCTGACTCTTCCACCCTTACCTACTGCCCTCGCTATTATTAACAGGAAGTATAGTCTTATGGGAATCAGGATTCCGGTCTCCTCTGCTGACTCAATCTGTGAGTGTGGGTAAGTCTTAAAAACTATCTGTGTCATGGTATGGCCATCTGTATTATTTGTATGATAGCTTTCAGTCCGTATGTCTTTCTCTGGCTGCCTCTCCTCATATCATCATTTGCTTACTTCCGATATCCCATTCTCCTTTCTGTTATGCTGTCCATTGGGCAGCAGAAAAAGGAAAAAAAGAATGGAGCAGGGAATTTCCACTTTTATTAGTTCATGAAATTTTTATTGAACATGCACTAGTAAAACATCAGATATCCACATCACAGGTTTTTTAGTGAACATAAACGTACGTGCCAACTCTCTGTACCTAGGTGGGCAAATTTCTATTTTTTAAAAGGAAAAGTAGTGATCTAGTTGATGTTCTTTTTATTATAACTAATCTAATTTAGAATATATCTGGAATTATGCAGTATTTTCCTATTTATAGTTTTCAAAGGTTGGCAGGTATGCGTTAGTGTTTTTGTAGTAGTGTCATTTAATTAGAAAAAAGACACTCTTAGCTTATTATTTTAGTTCAAAATATTCATGCCTTTTGCCTGTTAATGCTATTGTTTTCAGAAAAACTGCAGCTGGTTTGTTGTGTGTTTTCATCAATTCCAATTTGAAAATAAAGTTTTGATTCATGTATATTTGTGTACTCATTATTTTCAACAGTGGCACCAAAATAAAAGCAAAAGATTTGATTCATATGTTCCTTTTGTTGTGATTTAAGTTACAAAGATGCAAGTGTGTTAGCATTTTTCAGTATTTAGCTATAAATTTCTAGTTCATATGTAGAAAACAAACACCTTATCTCAAACCTTAATTACCATAAAGCATTTCAGTTCTATACCAATAACTAGTTGACTAAACTGTCATAATTTCATAGAACCATGCAATTTTAAGATGGTAGGGGCTTTAGCTATCATCTATTTCAGTCACTTCTTTGAAGATAAGAAAACTGAAATTCAGAAAAAGTAACTTACAGTGAGTGGCGACATCAGGACTAGAACTTAATTTTCCTTATTCACGTTCCAGTGTGAGCTTTTTTTTTTAATCATAGAAGAACTGTTTGCTATGTCATGTCAGTCACTGAACTGATTATTTCAGAAGTCCTCAAAATTCAGTATTTAAAATATATCTGTGTATGTATATATAATTGATTCACTTCAGCAAATAATTATTAATCACCTCCTATGAGCAAGGCACATTATGCCAGGTGCTGGGAGTACAAAGATGAAATAGAACACAGTCCTTGTTATAAATGAATTTATCATCTAGTAGATTCTTTTTGGAGTTTTTAATAGGACATATGAATGTTTTTAAATTTCCAATCATGATTATAAAGTATGTTCGAATTGACTCTTATAAATAACTGATGTTTCAGCTGTTCTCCTATTTTATTTTAGTCTTACCAGTATGAGTATGGTTATTCAGAGGTTGATGAGAGAAACAGTATTTGTAACCTAGTATTTCTTCCTATAACCATTTTTTAAAAAAAGATGTCAGCTGATGCATGAAATTTTTGTTTCTTGCCCTTCACTCCTAGACCATTTGAATATAGTCACTTATCTGATGAGAGCTCATAGGGCAAATGAAGTAGGTACTGATTTCCCATGAAGTTTGTCTTCGCCGTTGGTACTGCCAGTTCCCACAATCCTAGCATTCCCTGGGCATCACTCAGTGTCTACGAGAAACAATTTTCAAATCTTAAAGCATGTGAAAAGACAAACAGGCCAAAACTCAGAACTCTCTGGGGATTATGACCTCTGAGACAGACTACATTCTGACATTTTCACAGGCTACTTGAATGAATTCCAGCAGAGTTATTCCATTTGGTAAACTACTAAATGAACTCTCTGTCATCAAGGGCCGATTTATAGATTTTTCTATTTTATTGTGTGCTTGTTATGAAGAGATTACAATGGTTGACATAATCAGTGAGACTGTCTTAAGGCTTTTGATGTACATTTATGATACATTTATGCTGAAATTTTTGGTATTTTGAAATGATAAGAGAGTTATTTGTCTTATTTAAAGAGATTTTTTTGGTGGCTAATCCTGAATTTTAATTTTGTTCCTGGACATCGATGTGTGTAAGTAAACACATTTCTAGCTGAAAAATCTTACGCTATTGACCTGATAGCTTAAACTTAAGTAATTGTTTATTCAAAAGTCATCACTTAAAATAAAAGTTTTTTAAAATGAGGCTTTATGTGCTGTCCATTTGTTACTTTTTAATGTCTCTTGGAATACATGTAAAAACAAAAACAATCCAGTGCTTTTAAAGTACTATTTTAAAGGATCTTATCTGATTTCAGTTATTTAAGATAATTAACGTTTTTTAAATCCGTAGACTAGCACTGGTAATCTATAGATTATTCCATTAATAGGCTCCTTAAAATGATTTATTTACACATTGATCATTTCTATAAAAAGAAAGTCAGTTCTAAAAATAGCTGAATGGAAGGAAATCCAAGAGATTTGGAGCCTGAACAGCTTGGGGAATTTGGTAATTAGGGACTTGTTTCTTTTATTTCTAGGCTTACTATTCATAATCCTCACAGTTCGGCAATATCTGAAAAGTGTAATCACTGTAAGTCAATTCACTTGAGTCCATGTGAAATTTGGAGGGTAATAAAACTTCCCATCTTACAAGAGCCAGGTTTGTTGGTGGGTCTGTGGAATATTTTTCCTTTCTTGCATTATTCTTTCTCCCAGAACTAATTTTTGGAATTTATCCCAGAAGTCCTCAAACTCTTTTGGTTTTGGACCAGAACCCTCACCAGAGTGCGTTACTCTAAAGAGAAGAGGTGAAACTCTTAATGTAGATGTTCCTGAATCATATACAGTTACTTCCTATGTAGTATGGGATAGCAGATAATATCCTAACCTAAGAGTTCATATACAGGAGCATGGAACTGACTTGTTTAGAGGCAAAGATAATACTATACGAAGCAGCAGCAGGATTTGAATCCAGACTTTCTGACTCCAGATCCCATATTCTTTTCATCCTACACTAATATACGTGAGAACTCTGTAATAACTCTTTACTATCTCTACATTGTCTCAGATGCTGTTGTGCGTAAGTATGAGTTAAATACTTAACAAAGAATCTGTCCATCCTATAGGAAGAACAGGAGAGGTACTCTACATGTTGTCAGTGACTGACATTTTTTCTGTCATTATAAACTTTTGGAACTTAAGTTAGTTTTCTAAAGTACTCCAGAGATCTATATTGTTTTCCCGAGTCTTAGAAGGTACTCTTTTTCTTTCTGGTTGGCTTTTTCCATAGGTAGCCATGTTAACTGTGTTACTACTTTGTTATTGTCGTTGTTTTCCTCCAAAAAATGAAGGGAGGAAGAAGGAAAGGCTTTTTCTATATCAAAGTACTCTTGCATTCCCTCTTCCTCCCTGTCTCTTTCTTCCTCTTCCCTTTCCCCAACCCTTCTCTCTCTCTCTTTCTCACTGAGTGAGAAATAGCATTGAAATAAGAACTGGTTTATAAAATTGGAATTTATTTTTTTTTAATTAGATACATGTTGTTCTCCCCTATAGAATTTAAGCTCCTTGCAAGCATGGCATGGTTTCTTTTTTTCTTTGTTTCCCCATTGCATAGCAAAGGGAAAGGCATATAATAGGTGCTTAGTAAGTGCTTATTCAGTTAGACTTAAAACTGTTTTACTGCAGTCTCATAGTATTGTCCACCTTACAGAATAATGATAAAGATAGCTGATATTTTCATAGCAAGATTTGCAAAGTGATGGTAGTATAGCTGTTATTTCTATTTTGTAAATAACAGGTTCAGTGAGAGTTAATGACTTCCTCATACAGCAAGTGAGCGTATCAGAGCTAAGATTACTAGCTCAGATCTTTCCTATTTGAACCTAGGGCCCTGTCTACCATGCTGTGCCATCCTGTCTCTTATAGTACTGCTAAATATTTTCCTTAATACTTTTAAAATTATGTAATTTCTGTTCATGGATACCCAACTGTGATCTAAAATTCTTCTGTCTGGTTAAGTCCTATAATCTAACCTCATTAACCACATTTCCTACTACTTCCCAATTAAACAAGGATGATTGAATGATGAAAAACACAAGAAATATAATAATATTTAACCCTAGAAGGAACAGGTGCATCAATTGTTACTTTTTTTTGGATACTTGAAACTTGAAAAGGCTTAAGTATTTCTACTTCATACTTCATGACTTTTTCTATATCTTTGTTATCAGTATTCCTTAGCATTCTAAAGACTTTTCAAATAAAAAAAAAAAAAAGACGTAGTTCTACTTACAAGGTGCAGATACATCCAATGACACATATACTTAATAAATACTATGTGTTTTTATTGCAAATAAGAGGAAATGCTCTTATATTTATTTCTGTTGAGTTCCTATTAGTCTTTTCCCATTGGAGCATCATTAGAATTCATCAGATATTTATAAAAACTTGTGAATAATTTGTTTTGGGAGTAAAGCAAAATTTTATCTTGTTATGTACCATTTTGCCAGTTTTTAAGAAAATTTTTTTAGTTTTTTGGATTTTCAGAATTTATAACTTGGTTGTCATACTATGCAAGCTTTATTTGTATCCTTACTGATAAAATGCCCGAGAGACTGTCTGATGTAGATTTTAGAACTAATAAGAAATACCCCCTCTGACACATCCAATGATGAACTTTCAGTAGTGAATTCAGTGTTTTAAATACCACAATTTTAGTGTGTAAGGCAGTGAAAAAGTATCCCTCATCTGATTCCAGCAACAGTGAGTCCATCAGTTGAGTTGCTTCTACAGCTGACAAGCTAAAACATAATGAGCAATACAGTTCTCAGCAGACTCAAGTTCACAACAAAAAATGAAGAGCCACAGTGTCTGAAAGGTAAAGATGGTGTATTCCTTGCCAATGAGCTACTGCTTCTCGAAAAGCAGTATGAGGACACTTGGAACAGCTAAATACTATTACACTTTGATCTGGCCCTACCCACTGCGTATTCTACAACCTTTGTCATGAAGAAACGTTC